TGCGGCAGCTGTACGTGTTTTGCGTAGAATTACAGACAGATTTGCAAAAAACGTTGTAGGCTTGCCAAACTGCATTTTTTGCGCATTGGATGGGCCATATTTCTTCATTGACGGCACACATATATAGAACAGGCGCTGCGTACCGGCTGGAGGCACACAGCCCAAGGGGAAAAGGCTGGCAGCTGTAGGATTCACGTTACTAACAGAAAATACTCACACTGATAGCCCGAGCGGTCTTGATATTCTTGGTGTTTTTCCATTCGAAGTTCATTGCTCTGAACATTTTTGTTTGAAATTAGTCATATGACGACAATTTTAATGCGTTTTTTGCAGCTCTGCAATGCAGAAAACGCATATTGACGAGAAGTTGTCTGTGTGTGTGTTTGTCTGTGTCTGTGTGTTCGTCTGTACCGATTTTTCATCGCGAGAACTACAAAAGCTACGGGAATGAAATTTCGGGAACTCAATCTACATGCATGTACGGCCCCCATCCCCAAAATGGACGCTCTTACGCACGTGGTACCCACGTACGAGCCCGCCAAAGTTTTTTACGGGTAAGCTGCTAACTCGGGAATCAGAAAAGCTAGAAAGCTGAAATCTTAAGGGTATTTTCCCCGTCCAAGTGGGTATTAGCCTCCGAGTACGCGTGCTACCTACATGCGGGCTCGCCAAAGTATCTCAAAAGCTCTTGAGTATCTAAAACTTGAGTATCTCAAAAGCTAGAAGATTGTAATTATAAGAAGATGTTCCCCGACCATGTAAGTCCCAACGGGCTCAAATCCAGACATCGAGTATGAGTGGTTCCCACGTACGGGCCCGTGAAAGTTTTTTTTTCCAATAAGTTGCTAACTCAGGGGCCAGGAAAGCTAGAAAGTTGAAATTTTAAGCGAGTTTTTCCTGACAGGTCTAGCGGCCAGTCTTAATTTGTTCAGCTAGAAGCATTTGCCGGAAAAACCAGTGCCGGTAACGACAATGATTGTGGGGAACTTTGCAAAAAACGCATTTTCGCATGGGCAGTCCATGCGTTGGCCAATTGGCCGTGCGTTGGCCAATTATTTTACGAGTAATGACTGCTACTGGAAAGAACATCGCCACGGGATCAATTTCCTCAGACTCCTGGGTTTCTGTTGTATTTCCTGCTAGTGATATTTGTCAAGAAGAAGCATTAAAAACTCGCTAGTAGGTGATAAAATTTTTTAATGTATGAAGAACAAAAAGCTAGTAATGTTAAAAAAGCTGAGTTTTGTATGAGCGTCGAAGAGCACTTCTCCTGAAAGGCAAAGAAAGAAAGCAGGAAACGAGCGTCAGAAACACTTCCAAGGGGCTCGCTCAGCATCAGAGGAATGGTGCAGCAGCTGAAATAAGATGGTATTAATAAAATTTGTTTTTAGGCATTGGTGGAAAATCTAAATATGCGTGCAGCTGATTGGAGAGAATTAGTGAAGCGATTTGCGGCTCTAGAGGAATTTGGTGATCCTGTCGTGCAATATCTGTATAATTGTCGAAATCGCTGGATAAAGAAATACAAAAAGGGCTCATTCATCCGCCATCTCGACGACAGCTATGTTTTATTCTGTGTCACACCGGTTTGTGGAATCAACCATTTAATTTAGCATAATTTCTTCGTTAAACTTTTTAAATTTAATTTAAAAGCAAACAAACAGCTATCATTCGCCTGAGTGATTTCTCCGTAGTTCCGATCAATCCGTTCGTCAGTGAGGGCTCAAAGCACAGCATTCAGTTAAGCACTGTGTTACCTGCTTTTTGGTAATACATAAATATGATTAAAAAGGGAGCTGTTTCTCATTTTCACCACGGTTACGATGGCTGTATAACGACCACTTTTCCCTCTCGGTTACTGCTCTTCAAAGAATCATTTTATGGTAATTCGCGTAAGCAGGAAACAGGCAGATTTAGGATAATTTTTTAGTTTCCGTAATTTTCTAGCCTTTCCTTTAATTCCACTGCTATGCAGCACTCAACTCTCTCGAACTGCGTGGTAAACCTGTACGTCACATGCCGACTGGACTGAATCCAAACTTGCTCTTCGATTCTGTTTTACTCGAAGTTAAAACCGCCATTGCCGGGAAACCTTTCATTTTTCGTTTGAAATAATGCATATCCTGTTTCGCTGATAACCACGAAAGAAATTCGTTGCTTGATGGTGGCCCGGATTAGACATGATGGAATGTCATCGTGAGATGTAAGCAGTTCGTGCAGATTTTTCTACATATCTTCTCCGTGTTTACCAATCAAAAACAGTTATTTTAAGATGCCATAATATACTGCCAAATCTGAGCTTTTCTATTTTTGCCACAGGCTGTTTTAATTCTTAACCGTTTAACTCCAATTTTACAGGAATTATCTTCATTTCCATTCGAAATGTTACCAGTGGTAGAATCACATCAACGCATCTGTAGAATATCATCATTTCACATATTCCAAAAGCTTCTTTCTAACTCGAAAGAGGTTTATATTTATTTAAAAAAGGCGAATTCTGTTCTGAACTTGCCATAAAGGCGGAAAACCTTACCCATTCCTGATTTTCTACTTTTTTTATTCAAAAAGTAGAAAATCTTTTATGTTTCAGGACTTTTATGTTTTAGAGTCAAATTATCATCATATTTTTAGGAATG